GAGACTAGCAAGATGAAAGTCCTCAAGTTTGCATGTAAGGTAATAGGAGAGAATTCTGACTTGTTATATTAAGGGTTCTGGATGCCCCCAGCTGGGGCAGGCTACATGCAGGGATGGTCAGGCACAGGGTAGCCTGCAGTTCGTATACAAACATATGTGGAACTTCATTGATGTTTGAGAATGCTGCTGAACATAAAGTTTAATTGTTTCATTCCTTTTTCACACTTTGTGTTAGTCTGCTTGCACCGCCATAGCAAAACACTACAGACTGGATGACTTAAACAATAGAAATTTATTTTCTCACAGTTCTGGAGACTGGAAGTCCCAGATCAAGGTCCAGCAGGGTCAGTTTCTGATGAAGCCTCTTTCCAGCTTGCAGATGAATATCTTCTTGCTGTGTTCTCATGTGGTAGAGAGCCTCCTCTTTTCTTAAATGTTTATTTATTTTAAGAAACAGAGAGCACGAATGGGGGAGGGGCAGAGAAGGAGAGAGAGAGAGAGAGAGAGAGAGAATCCCAAGCAGGCCCTGTGCTGTCAGCACAGAGCCTGACACAGGGCTTGATCCCACGAACTATGAGATCATGACCTGAGCTGAAATAAAAAATCAGATGCTTGACTGACTGAGCCACCCAGGTGCCCCAAGACAGAGAGCTTCTTTTTATAAAAACACTAATCCTATTGGAGTAGGGCCCCGCCTTTATGACCTCATTTATGACCTCTACTTCCATAGAGGCCCAATCTCCAAACACAGTCACATTGGGGGCTGGTGCTTTAACATATGAATTTTAGGGGGACACAAACATTCAATCCATAACTTACTCTTTTATCATTTTCCATCTTTTCCATGAGGTTAACTCGTCCAAGATCACACACAGCACCTTAGTTATCAGAGCTGAAATGGATATCAGGATTGACCCATGATTGGAAAAAAAAATACTACTATTGCTTTTATACAAAGCCCATAGTATGTACTTAATATATAATTACAAATGTTATTATCCTCATAATGATTATCATCCCCATTTCAGGTGCAGAAGAAAGACCCCAAGGACTGGGCTGCTCAGTACCGGGAGGCAGTAGAGATGGAAGTGCAAGCTGCAGCTGTGGCTGAGGCTGAGGCTGAAGCCAGGGCTGAGGCAAGAGCCCAAATGGGGATTGGAGAGGAAGCTGTGGCTGGGCCCTGGAATTGGGATGACATGGATATCGACTGCCTAACAAGGGAAGAGTTAGGCGATGATGATCAGTCCTGGAACAGATTTTCATTTGAAATTGAGGCCATAGCCCAAGAATATGCAGATGCCAGCACCAACATCGACTTCAGCAGAGGAGCTAGCACCAGGGCTACCTTTAGCAATAGTGCTAATATTAGCTTCAGTGATGCAACCAGCCCCAGTGGTGGCTTTGGTGGCAGAGCTGGCATTAACTTTGGTGGCACACCCAGTACCAGTGCCAGCTTCAGCAGTACAGCCAGCATTTGCTTTAGTGGCACACCCAGCACTAGCACTAGTTTCAGTGGTGCAGCCAGCATTAGCTTCAGTGGTGCAGCCAGCACCAGCCCTAGTTTCAACAGTGAAACCTGCATTAGCTTTGGTGGCACACCTTGTACCAGTGCCAGCTTTGGTGGTGGGATCAGCTCTAGTTTCAGTATCCCACTCAGCACCAGTCCCAATTTCAGTGGTGGAGTCAGCTCTGGCTTTGGAGGGACACTCAGTACCACTGCTGGCCTCTGTGGTGCACTCATTACCAGTAGCAGTTTTGGCACTATACCCAGAACCAGCACAGTCTTTAGTGGTGCACTCAGCACCAGCACTGGATTTGGTGGCACACTCAGCACTAGTATCTGCTTTGGTGGCTCTTCCAGCTCTGATGTCAGCTTTGGTGGCACACTTAGTACCAGTATCTGCTTTGATGGCTCTCCTAGCACCAGCACTGGTTTTGATGGAGTACTCAGCACCAGTGTCTCCTTTGGTAGCTCTTCCAGCACCAGTGCTGACTTTGGCGGTACACTAAGTACCAGCATTCGCTTTGGTGGTCCTCCCAGCACTGGTGCCAGGTTTAGTGGTTCATTCAGCACCAGTGTTGGCTTTGGCAATGCACTCAACACCAGTGCTGGTTTTAGCAGTGCTGTTAGCACTAATGCCAGCTTCAGCAGTGCACCTAACAGCATGTCTGGCTTTGGCGGTGTGTTCAGCACTAGTACAGACTTCAGTGGGGCACTTAGCACTACTACTGACTTTAGCATTTCTCCCAGTGCCAGCATTGGCTTTGGTGGACTTCCCAGCACCAGCCTCTGCTTTGGCAGTGTATCTAACACCAACCTATGCTTTGGTGGCCCTCCTAGCACTAGCACTTACTTTAGTGGTGCTACCAGCTCTAGTTTTGGTGATGGATCCAGTACCACTGCCGGTTTCATCTTTGGCAATGGCTTAAGCACCAGTGCTGGATTTAGTGGTGGACTGAGCACCAGTGCTGGCTTTGGTAGTGGACTAGGCACCAGTGCTATCTTCGGTAGTGGACTGAGCACCAGTGCTGGCTTTGGTGGTGGACTGATCTCAAGTGATGCCTTTGGTGGTGTACTGGGCACCAATGCTGGTTTGGGCAGCACACTTGGCACCAGTGCTGGCTTTAGTGGTGGCCTCAGCATCAGTGATGGCTTTGGTGCTGGGCCTAATACCAGCTTCAATGGAGGACCAAGTACCATCATTGGCTTTGGCAGTGGTTCCAACACCAGCACTGGCTTTATTGGTGAACCTAGCATCAGCACCAGCTTTAATGGTGGACCCAGTTCTATCATTGGCTTCAGCAGTGGACCAAGCACAGGTTCTGGCTTCAACAGTGGACCAAGCAGTGGTGATGGCTTTGGCGGTGGACCAAGAAATGGTGCTGGCTTTGGTGGTGAAGCCACCAGCCTTGATGCCTGTAGCTTCTATGGCTAGTGAGGTTTCAGGTAATTACAACATTTCCACAGCATGGCCTATGGGAATGGGTATAATAGCTGGGAAATTTTAAGAAACCCCAAAGTGGGAGGGTTGGGTAGGGAGATGAGGACAATGATGGAAGTATGAGACAACATTTGTTGCTAAAAGTGCTTCTGTTTGGTGTTTTGTTTTCAGATCCCAGGTTTACAGATAATGCTAATTAATTGCAGCAGTTCTTCCCGTGGATCCAAGGTACATCCTTGGAATCTTTGTCCATACAGCAGTATAAGCAGATATTATCGATCAGCTGAGGGTGACACACTATGAAAAATCTGCTTGCTGATCCTGCTTTATTGTTTGCTTTTTGTGTGCTGTCATATTTTGGTATTGGAGTTATATTAAATTTGCAAAATGAATTGGAGTTTTTTTCTCTTTTAATGTGCTTAGGTTGTTGTGAGTGACATTTTAGGTTCATAAAAGAAATAGATATCAGCATAGCTCTTCAGAGATGGTGGGCTCCAGCTTTAGGCTAAAATGAAAGTATGATTTCAATGGGATAAAGACCTGGGGAAAGCATGGCAGGCAAGAGGATTACAGCTTGAGCAAAGATGTCAAGGGGGAAATCCTAGAACAGAAATTTGAGGGAGAGGGTTCTGGAAGGAAATATAGATTAATTTTGAGACATTTGTATGGGAATGGAGAGATAGAGTGAGACTAGAGGTAGACACGGGAGCAAAGGAGGGTTTTCTTGAGATAGGAGAGAGACATATGAGTATGTTGCAGAGACATATAAAGGACATATAAAAGCCAATAAAGGACAAGAGATAGATAAGGAACAGTCAACAATTGACTGAAGTAGCCCATGCCTGAGAAGGTGGGATGAGATAGAGTGCCAGAGAATAGAGGGTGACTTTGACTTTGAATAGGATTTAAGGGTGGCTGTGGAAGCAAATAAATGTAGGTTTGTTTCAAGTGGCAGATCCTCCCCCCAAAAAGGTAATATGGATTATACAAGGTTTGGGTCTTGCTGGAGGCTATTATGGAAGAACAAAGGAATCAAAGCAGTGAGTATACGAGTCTGTCTCTTCACCACTGGGTTGCCAATACCTAGGTGCATAGAGAGTGGTTGAAGAAATGGAATATAGAATCCAAGCTGGTTAGGAATGGAAGAACAATGAGGAGGAAGAGGACTTGTCGATTAGGAGACAATGGAGGAATCAGAAGATTATACTCTTGATGCAGCATAAGAATAAATATCGTTCATTCGAGAAATATTACACACATGCCTCCTATGTGGGAGGCATGCTGCTAGGGATCCTATGGATGATACAGAGTTGTAAGGACTAGGGGCCAGTGGTCAGATAGCAGGATCCTTGTATTTAAGAAGTCATACTGGGAGAGGGGTGTCTAGATGATGCCAAGGTCTATGGAATGGGTAGTTGAGGGGGAAATGATTACTGGAGTTGAGGGAGTCAGGAGACTTGGAGGTCAGGGTATTGTTTGGATAATTTATATGAACATGAAAATCACTAAGGATGGCAGCAGGAGTTGGAAAAGAGAGGAACACTATGGTCTAGGTACAGATTCTTCTGAGTGTATGAATGAAGGTATCACATCCTCATCCATGCTGCCCACCAAGGAACAAGGCCCATAGGTACTCACAGAGACCTATATCCTCCCTCACTTTTAGAAGCACTACCCCAGAACCCTACCCTCCAGGAAGCCCTCATCCATTCCACACCCCACAGCAACAGAGGCATTTCACAAAGTAAGATCTTAAGAAGATCTTGTAGGAGAAGTCTCACAATGACTTCCTCTCCCTCCTTGTAGGCAGCAAGAGAAGGCTTTATTGATAAGGAACTAGGAATTAAGAAAGAAAAAGCTTCATTCATAACTAGATAGCTCCTTGGTTGTAGCTGGAAATCGAGGCCTGTTTTGGAGATGCTGAGGGCTTCTTCACTAGAAGCAGGGGTCTTCTAGTAAGACCAAGTCCAGCGTCTTGAGGTAAGAGAAGTGCAAGGTAAGCAGCACTTAAGGTGGGAAACAGTGGAGACAAAGGCAGTTTGACTTCTTGGAAAGGGCTCAGTAATGGGCAGGGACAGTGTCCAGGGCTTCCTCAGGTTCTCGGGTGATGTCCACATTCTGGGGGAAGAGAGCCCAGGATTAATAGGAAGGAGATACGACTATGGAGCCCCAGACCCACCCCTGCCTCTTGTCCTCTTGTCCCAGGCTCCTCTATTTCAGCCAGGCGTGGATCCTGACCCTTTTCTCAGGCAAGCCTCTGGGGAATCTCAACCTGAGGTATTTTGGGTAAGGGTTGCTCTAGTCCCTCATCTTCAAGTCACCTCAGGCCTGGGACATGGTTCCTGCATTTCTGGGTGCTGGTTATTCTACCAGTTGGTATGAAACATCCAAGCTATGTGGGATTGGAGTGGTCTTTCTGTGCAGGTGGGTGCTTTCACTATGTGCCAGCTTAGGCCATAGAATCCCTCACCTACCTCAGGTTTCTCCCGGTGTGTGTTTACAGCTTCCACATTCAGGTAGATGGACTCCACTTTGCAGCCTCAGAAAAGAACAACCAGTCCATCCATAAGCCCCCAAGGTAAGCACAGGTCTTTCCTAAGGTGTCATTCACTCCCATGCCCATCACCACCCATACCCCCAGCTCCACACTGTGTGCAGATTGTGACTGGGCTGTAGGGAGGGGAATGTAGACCAGCTGTGTGACATATGGGGAAGACACCAGGTCTAAGAGGAGTCAATGGGGTGTCCTCCCACCTGTCCCTGATAGTCTTAGAGTTCTCTGAGCCTCAGTTGCTCAACTGGGAATGGGAAGGAGATGAGAATAGATGATCTCTGGGGCCTCCCTCAACTCTTGTGGTCTGTGAGGCAGCAATCTAATGTATATAATAATGATGGAGTTCTGTGGATCTTCTAAGCTGTGTTAAATGCTGAAATGGTGGAAGAGTTCTGGGGCCATTGCCTTGGGGCAATCAATCCCAGGTAAAGTTCATTTAGAGGCAAAATGATTATGGCAACACCAGAGGTGTGGAAGGTCACAAGGGAGTTCTGGGAGCCTGAAGAAAAAGGAGAGTGATATCACTGGGGTCTGGGGCTGGCAGAAGAAGCATAATGCCTGTAGAAGCCCCCCTTAGCTCCATCTCTGTGGATTGCACCCTGCTCAGGGCTTCAGTGTGCTGTTTGCCCTGCTCACATCCTAGAAGATAGTAGAGTCTCTGTCTCTCTCCTGCTCATGAATATTTCATAGAAAACTAATGCCTCAAGAGATAGTCTAAACTGACAAGGCCAATCTTTGAGCTCTTTCTTCAATTTGGTTCCAAACTACACTTATTCCTCTGGTCCCCTTTGGGGACCTCTTCTACAGCTAGTGCTCTATACTTGATAGAGCCAGAGAAAGTTGAGGCCAGGCCCTGGATTTAGAGGCCATCCCCATTCTTCCCTGTTCTCATTTTATTACTGCTAATCTTTCCTTCGCCAAGACATCTAATTACATACCCAAGAAACCTCCCCAAGGTCTCTGCTGTACAAATGGTATGCACTGGAGGTATGCTCATGCTCTCTATGTGCCTTTCCTCAGATGAGGGTAGGGGCACTCACCATAAGCCACAGGTGTGAGTTTAAGCACGGTGTGCAAAGGACACTTGAGATATGGCAGCTCATCTAGAAAGGAGGAGAAAACAGCCATCAGAGACAGGGTAGTGTGGAGGGTACCACCTCCCCAGCCTTCTTCTGCCACAACCCCTTCCTTATGGTCAGCTTCATCAAGGGCACACTCCCCACACTCTGCAGTGGGTAGTGCTGAGAGTAGGGTGAGCAATGACGAAGAATGCAGAGAGATGACCTCTAGAACAGGGAGAAAAGAGGTCCCTGGGGAATGTGGACAGATTGTGAGTTCTCCAGGAGGGACATGCTGGTCATCTGGGAAGTGGTTTATCTCCTCATTAACAGGGCAAACATGAGACCAAGGCAGACCTCTATCCTGCCCCAGCCTCAGGCTTTCCACAGACCTCTAAATGAAGGCACACAAATGTATGTCAGCAAGTTTTCTGAGACCTTGCTATGTACCAGGACCCTTGGATAGGTGTACATGCACCTTCACAGCTCCCACAGTTTTTTGCTCCAGCCCAGACCTGTGCTCTCTGATTCCTCTCACACTTGTTGATGGACAAGCATTTCTTGATTCACTTGTTTCCAGTTGTTGACTATTGTTCATAAAGTTTTTTTGATATTCATGTACCATTTCTTATGTGGGCCTAGGTTTTATTAGACATCCCTGAGAGAAGGAGTTGATCAGGCCCAATGAGGACATTAAGCCTCTGAAAGGGAAGACATTTGCCCTATGTCACTCTCAGGAAGTGGCAGCACTGGGACTTGAACCTAAGACCCTCAGAGGCTAAATGCGTGCTCTGCCCACGGCAGCCAGCTACCATTGCCTTGGAGGGGCTCACAGTGTCACGGGAATGACACCCTCATTTGCCACTATTCTCCGACGACAGTCACTCTCACTCACCCAGCAAGCACTTACCACTTCCCATCTCCCTTCACTGAGCCAGAACCCCACCCCTCATGGCTTCCCTGCCCCCAAGGTTGATCCTGGTCTTTTAAGGTCACCACCACCCTCCTAGCCTCCTGAGGCATCAGGTTTGGTGATATCCTGGGCATCTATCCTGCTCCTCCTCATCTTTGTCATCATCATTGTCAGGCTCTGGGCCCTCTGGTTGCATTTGGTGCAAGATCTCATTCCACCCTTGCTGATACTCTGCAGGGGTGACTGTTCCCCTGCACACATGACACACATGACACACATGGCACACATGACAACTGGACTCAGAGAAGGGAAGTGACTGACTTGTTTGAGGTCTCTGACCTAGCTCTGCCACCACCTGGACAACTGACCTTGGCCCAGCCTTTTCTCTCTCTAGCCTTCAGAGTTCCCATCTCTCATAGGACAGGATTGGACCAAATGTACTCTGAGCATGCCCCAGCTATGAGGCTCCTGGGGGGGTCTGCTTCCTGAGTCACATCATCTCTCTGGGCCTTAAGTTTCCTCACTGAGTAATATGGGTAAAAGCATGTCCTGAGCACTGCCTGGCCCAACTCCCAGGGCCTTTGTGAACAACTGGTATGTCCTGTGCATGAAAGCAGGTAGGAAGTGGGTGAAGCAGTGTGAGAATGACAGGTGAATGTACCACTCCCCACCCCACCCCCTGCAAATCTATGCATTTATTAACTGGGAATCCTCTGGAAAGCACCTGAAATTGACACCCCTCACTGATCCTCTGAGCCCCATGATCTTGGGTAAATCACTTTACCTCTCAAAGCCTCCATTTCCTCATCTGCACAGTCAGAGTTACAGTGCTTGCCTCATGGTCTCAAAGACAGTACCAAGCAATGGAGATTGGAAGCTGTCAGAAATCTAGTAGCACAAGAACCCTCATCCCAAGCCTCATCACGTTTCCAGTGAGGAGACTGAGAACCAGGCAGAGGAAATGACTTGTTCGATGTCAAGTTCTCAAGTTCCCTAGGTTTTGATTTTTGATGACTTCATATTATAAGTGCCCTTTATTTGGAAACTACCATAGTAGAAAATATTCAAGTCTGCAGGACACTGCACAATATAACTTTCAAGTATAACTTTTCAATGTCCTCACATACTCAGAGTATCCTGGAGATGCCCATACTTCAGCATCCACATCAGAAATGGACTCTCACACCCAAGGTTAACATAATGGTCCCTTTCTAGGCTCTCTGCCCTAGTTTGCATTCCAGCATATGTTGTCAGTGTATAGATACTCTGTAAATTATAATGTCTAGATATATTTTTAAAAAGAAAATATTTAAAAAATAAAATGGAAATATCAGTATCTTGGGAGAAATCATCCCCACAACAAAGACAGAAACCTATAATCAGGATCATTAGGCAAAAAAAAGTCCCGTTACCACCTGATGACAGCATGCTTCATCGAAAAACTGGCTCAGCTTTTTCATGTTGATGCATACTGTTAATGTTGGCTTTTAAAACATTAGCTCAAAATAATACTAATAGCAGCAGCTAACACATATAGCCCATACTATGTGTCACGAATTGCCCTCAGCTCTTTACATATGTTAATGTATTTAAACTTCATCATCATTTTCCCATTTTACAGATGAGAAAATTGAGGCCAGAGAGGCTAAAGTAACTTGCCAAATCTATTATGTTACAGAGCAAGAATTTGAACTCAAGCATCTTTGTTCTAGATACTGTGCTCTTAACCACTAAGGTATAAACCACAGACTGCTGGTGTAAGGGTTCCAAATCATACCCAGCTCCCTATGCCAGGAACAGAGAGAAGAGTGGTACCTGAGCTCTTATCCAAGAAGTAGGCCAGGAGGCACCGCATGACAGCCTGGTGGCAGATCACCAGTACATTTTCCTGCCGTTCTAGCTCCATTATAACTGGCTCCAGACGCTGAACCAGATCCTCATAGGACTAAAAATGAGAGAACATTTGGGTAAAAAGAGTAGATGAGGCACATTTGCCCAGAGAACTCAGGACTAGGAATCAGGAAAAGTTGGATCTGGTGCCCGTTCAGTTATTGACCCAACAATATTGTCTTAGGCAACTCACTTCTTTTTAGGGTCTTAGTTTCTCATGTACTAAATGGGGACAATCAATACAGTGGACTAAATAACTATAACAATAATAAAACTTCTTAATATAAAATTCCTAGAAAAACCACATAAAATAAATGGTTGCACTGCTGATCTTTTAACAAAATAAAGGAAATATGAATGAAGGATTCCAAAATGAAGAAAAACGTGGGGAAAAAAAGAAATAAGTGGATACAGAAGCCACAATGCTCTGGGGGCATTTTTCAATCACAATATCTAACAGGCTTGAGATTTTAAAACCTTATAGAGACAGAAGACAAGGTCTTAGGTGTGTAGACGGTTGAGAATCAGGACTGAAACTTTCACATACATCTGAGACCCTCAAAGGGCTACATCTATTTTTATTTTTTTTAATTTTTTAATTTTTTTTCAATATATGAAGTTTATTGT